AAACGAACATACACGCGAGCTTCTCCGTCCCCGCAGTGAGAAGTGCGACAAGCTTTTCGCCCAGAAGGGCAAAGGAGGGTTTCCTCAGCACGACGAGGGTGATGGCTCATTCGGAAGGCTAGGTGGCTCAAGCTCAGTCTCACTGTCAGTTTTTACATGTGACTCTTACTTATCCTTCAACATCAAGCACCGGACCAACATGCCCCTTACTTTTTGTTTAAGTTAATGCCCACTGGGGCAAACTGGTTGGAATCGGCATGTCACCCATGTCGGATGCAAACCAATTGTCCAGACTGAGGCCGAGAAGCATCAAGACTTCGCACCTGACTGCCCTGCCGGCATTGGCTTCCCTCGACTCGTCCCGACGGCTGCGATCCGCATGGTGCCGAATCTTTGGGACTTCAGTTGGCCTATTGACAGACTTTGTTGTGACATGTGTTTGCAGGCAACAGCAGAAAAAAGAAGACACATAAAAATGATAATAATTAACAAAAAATAACAGCTTGCACATGGTTGCAGTTGAAAGGACGACACTCAGCGACGAGGTTCCAGGCAACAGAAGGCCTTTGATATCGTGGAGATGAAGTTTAACCTCCCTCAATTTGGCCTGACCCCCACTTGATGCACAACCGTCGCCCAGGCATGGCTCAAGGAGCTTTTTCTTGGGCGCCTGTTCTTCAAAGCTTTGTGACAGGTCGGTTTGCGCGTGTGGCGTGTTTGTGTGGCGTGGTTTCCGTGTCGTCGTCTCTGCGTTCGTGCGTGTGCCCTCACCTGCCTCACAGAAGTTTGCCATGCAGACGTGTCCCGCTTTGCAAGCCTCGAGCAGGACAAGAAGCAAGCAAGGGACCACAACTAGACGGGCCGTGCCTCTGATAGAACTGGGAAAGGTTGCACAATTGTAGCACCATGTTTGCATCGCATGCAAAGCTGGCAACGGATACAGTATCATGACACGCAATCTCTTTGGACAACCAAAAAACGTGTGTATATATATGTACACATATATATATATATATATATGTTGTATGTATGTATGTACATGCATTCCAACAGTAGTTTTGGATGCTTGACGTTTTCAGAGTTGAGACTACTGACTTTTTCATGGATGGATGGAGAACCCAGTTGGCGTGATGACTGCCCATGCCCAAGCAAGGTCATCGAATCGCCGGCGATGTCCTGAGCATCTGAGTTTGAACACTTCAATGATATTTGTCCCCAACCTGTTTTGCAACATCAGCACTTGCCACCATGGCTTTCCGAGTCACATGGAACCCAACAGCTGGACGCTTCTACGCTGGCCAGGTCTTGCAAATGTTCTGCACGCCTTCGCTTTGGTCGGGCACCGCGGCAGCCACGTCATCCTCGAGGCGCCGTCGCTCCCTGTTTGCTCAGCTCTGGAGACCAGAGCCCCTGATGTTCGGGAGATGTGCCAGCCCAGGTGGTGGTTCGAAACCATTGTTCAAGGAAATGTGTTTGACTTTTCTTGGTGGTTCCCAGCCATCCGGTTCCTTAGCTTTTCAGTTGTTTTTTTGTGTTTAGTGAGGTTTTCCATTTAGCCCACGAAAAGTTTAACTTTTAGCGAGGGATCTGAGAACAGCCCAGTTTTGAGTCCGCGCTTTGATGCTCAGACCAGGTATTGGCTGCGGCTCCTCTGGTTTGTCACAGCCATCCATGATTGGCTTCTAGGTCCCCCAGCTAGGTGCCCTTTTTGCCAACTTTTTTGGGGGAGGGGTCCCCTGCTAAAATAGACCACAGAAAAAAAAGGTACCCTTATTCTAACCTCTCTAGTGGAGGACCTAGGCTTGTTGGTCTTGCAGCTCGCAGAAGGATCCCAGAAGGGCAGCTTCCCGACATGTCTTGCAACGATGGGAGTCCATGTCCCAGGACTTGAGCCGATCGGACTCGGTTGGTCACCAGTTTCTCTTCGCGGTTCTCAGAAACAAGACGAAAACACAGGTTCCCTGCCGGTGGTTCACGGCATGTTTCGGGGATACAAATGAGGTTTGCCAACGGAGGTTCACGGCATGTTTCAGGGATCCCTTCTGTGGCGAAAGCGACCTCTGACCTCTGTGGCACGACTTGTCAATGAAAACTGTGCGACATCTTGTCAAGTGGGTTTGTCCACGAAGGGGGGGATCCCAACAATGGGTGGTTACTACGTTGGCTTCCCTCGAAGACAGACCTGTTGACAGGGTGCCTGGTTCCTCACCAAGCTCGGATGAGATCTTTCCTGGTTGGCATGGTTTCCACTGGATGCACGTGCCGTTTTCTGCCGTTTGGCTCAGCGTATTGCCCCAATGCCGCGCGCGGCATTGGGCATGGGCCGATGTATAGCCCCGCACTTAGCCGAGAGACTGGGAGCTTTACGGAAGCCTCCCAGGTCTCAAAATTTCCCAAAAATCCAAACATGGCGCCTGAAAGGGAACCCCTGGAAGACCATTTTCCTCTATAGCACCCTCTTGGCTCCATGTGTTGGTTTTGGGGAGTGGGCTATTGGTTGCCCTTTCCCGTTCCGGGACTGGCTTGGGGTTGTTAGATCTCAAGCTACATCCGACCCTTCGCTCGTCCCGCACCTTCGGCCCACCTCATGTTTGGCTCCTTGCAACCGGAAGGGTCCCTTTGCTTGTGCCCTCATTGGCCTTGCAGGCTAGTAGAAGCCATCCTGTGTGGGGTCTCCACCCTTAAAAGTGGGGTTGGTTCGCGTCATTTATCGTCAGGAGTCCGACGTGTAGCGAGCTGTTGCTTGGAACACTGCGGCGTGGGGTCCCTATTTTCGGGGGGAACTTTGGTTTGCACATCGTTTGGAACTCAGCAGGCTGAACTCCGACGAGAGTGAGTCCTGTACTAACGGAACGTGAAACAAAACTATCAGCGCGTATGTGTGGCATTCATGCGAACGAATTCAAGTGTGCAAACACGCAAGTCTTTTAAGGGCCATGCGAATTGCCATCAGCAAATCATGCGCTGCTCTTCGAACATTAAAACCAACGGCGACCTCCTTCCATCGGCAGACGAAGCCATTTGCCCAGTCTTTGTGCTATCCAAAGGGGACGCCGCACCTGACCAAGCGGGGATGCGCAAGCTCCCATCCCAATCTTTGGCGGAGCTTGCATTCAGCACGTGTCCCCAGGAACGTCTTGCCCGGGATAGCGTCCATGAAGGATTGTTTTGTTCGCGACAACATCTGGAACAATATTTTGAATCCGTCTCTTGGCTTTGGAAGGAAACCTTGTTGTGGAGCATGCGCAGAACCGTGTGTAGCAGACTGGTCTGGAGGTCACGGTTTTGGCGCAATCGTGACCACCCACAGGTTCATCTGGAATTTTGACTGTGGCCCTCTGATGCCATGCGTGTCATTGCGACTTCAAAGGCGCTGCAACTGTGATGTAACATGGTCTGTTGGAAGCAGCAAAAGGCATGTTGATGTTGGAAGCATCGAATGGTGTGTGACGTGCATTATTTTCTTTGCACAGCAGTAGAGGAACAAAGATATGGTTATGAATTTTTAGTAAGGGACCCTTTGGTGGACATATGTGGACATTGTTTCGGTGGGCATTCATGTCCACCAATCACTTTTGAGGTGGTTCCCTATTAAAATTCATGGCCACATGGTGCACAGCGCACTCTTTCCATGAACTGGTCCAACTGGTTGCCACCCAGCCGCCAAGCCAAGCCGCGAGGCTGGACGTTGGCTGTGGCGCTAACGTCGGCTGCTGCCCAACAATGCCGGCCCTTGTGCACGCTGGAGAACGGCAGATGCCAGGCGCCAGAGTTTTCGTCGGGGCTTTAAGCACATCCCAGACCTTGGGTTTTTCCCACACAACCCGAGAGACGACGTATCCCATGTGTTTTCTCATTGCAACTTGGGCATTGGTGTGGCGCTTTCGGCCTTCAGATTCTGGCACTGGATGACGAAGAGTTATGGTTGATTCTGGCAGTCGCATGATGCGTTGAGAAGATCCGCAACTTCCGGCGTGTGAGACATTGAGCCTAAGGCGGGTCATGTGACGAACTGAAACTGCCCTCTCAGCCGCCAAGCTGGCCAGCTGCAAGATCAGTGGATCGGCTTGACCCATGGGTTGGTGTTGTTGAGTGGGTGGGCCTCCAACTTTCAAACAAATGCAAGCTTAGAGTTCTGACATATCTCCTAGTTGGTGCTTTGGATTGGTGGTTTGGGGATTTGAATCCCTGGTTCAATGGGAAACCACCCCGGAACACCTCCGAACCACCAATCCAAACCACCAATGAGAGGGAAGCTGACGTTCTCACCAATAAAAACTACAGACTGGAGATAGGTTGGAAGCGGGACAGATGGCGTCACACTTTGCATGCTTCTTCAATATGGGTTCAATCAAGGGGCCTGCAACAAGGTCAAAGCGTGGTTGGATAAAATCACGAACCAGCTAAAGGACTAAGTGAGCAGTAGTGGACAATGTAAATATTGTATAATTTACTAATCATCAAATAGGAAGACCAGACGCACGTGCACAAGTCAATAGCGACGCCGGCACCATGGCTACAAACACACACAGAGACACAGACACACAGACACACAGACACACATACACACAGACACACAGACGCACAGACGCACAGACACACAGACACACAGACACACAGAGACACACCCACCCACGCACGCACGCACGCACGCACGCACGCACCCACCCACCCACCCACCCACCCACCCACCCACCCACCCACCCACCCACCCACCCACCCACCCACCCACCCACACACACACACACACACAACACACACACACACAACACACACACACACATGACGTGCACATGAATGCATAAAGGAACAGAACAGCACAACGCCAAGCTGATGATAACCATGGACAACTGACAGTTGCGAAGTGATCACTGAAGTTCTCACCAGGAAAGCACCGACCCACCGATTGGCTGGGGAACCACGCATATGTCTAAATTGTGATGCTGATCCACGGCTCTTTTCGCGACTGCCTTTAGAATTCGGGGGTGGGGTGCCTCAACATGGGAGCCCCCCTCTTGTGTTCCCCCGAACAGCCATGGGGCCCTTCACGCATTCAGTAGTTGTGCCATTCGGATGAAGCAGCTTGGGGCATTTCGCGGGCCCTGTTTGACACCGTACGAATTTGTGTAGGGCTCCCCCTCACGTATTTCTGATGTCCGCACGGGCCAATTCAGCAATTAACCCATCACAAGTTGCTAGGTCCCCCAGTCGCGCCCTTTTACCGACTTTTTTTGGGGAGGTTCCCCTACTAAAATAGACCACAGAAAAAGTAGGGTACCAACTTATTCTAACCAACCTCAAATCTGCAGGACCTAGCTTGAATTGGAACACCGAAGCTTCCCTTGAACGCCAGCTCGTTGCCCCTTCCGCTTGCGGAAGCCCGCAGGTGAGCCATTGGTACAGCAGCGGCGTCCTTGAGCGCCTGGCCGGCTCTTCCCCCTGGGCGCAGGCGCCGCCTTTGGGCGGAAGGGAACTGAACCCCACGGGCTGCGTGCGGGGAACGGGCGGTTGGGGAAGCCACGAGTGAAACAACTGGAGACGTAGCCTCTGCCCCTCTGGGCTGGTTCCCAGAAACCCTATTTTGCTGAAACGCTTTCCGAGCATTGCAATCTTCGGTTTTACCAGAGGCAAGGTTGACCATCACCCTGCTACCAGCTGATTATTTGATGGCTCTCTCAGCCTCTCAGCTATGCGCCAGACTGAGAAAAGCACCGCATCGGGTTTCTTGGGTGCCTCCCAAACGCCGCTGAGATGAAGGGGCAGTGCTGCACACTGGGCTCATTTGACCTCTCGTGGCTGCAGAAAAAAAGCAAAGCCCCACTCATGTGATATAGGCCTTGGGACTGCAAAGCACACTCCCCCTCAGAAAGGTGTCTCCCCAAATAAATTAGATTCATCCACAAAAAATGAAAAAAGGCGTCGCCTTACCCGGCCAGGTGGCCGCCCAGCGCCTCGCCTGCGGCGAGCTCAACGCCTCCGACTGCGGGGAGAGCTGCGAGGTCTCCGCGGGGCTTTGCGGCCCGAGGACGCGGCTTCGAGGGCTTCGGGGGCTCGGCCGGGGGCTTCGGGAGACGGGAGGGGCCAATTTGGGCTTCGGTTGTCTCCAGAATTCCGCCTGGTCGGGTTTCAGAATCGCCATTCAAGGGATGTTTTAGACTGAGTGTCGTTTTGGTAGGGGTGAGGCTTGAGGGGAAATGTGGGAACCCTGTTTGGTTCAGCTCTTCCCCAAAACGATCCGAGCGATGAACCTTTTTATGATCACCCTTTGGTTTGCCAATTCGAAAGAGTGTGCTTTGGAGTGATGTTGGACCCTGCGCCATCCCCAAGCCCAGTATAGCATATTCCAGGCAACTGCATGATGAATCCCCGGATAGATAGCTATCAGTCCCTTTCCGCCGCGAACTTCACAACAAAAACTGAGACGAGCAGTAAAGATCAAATCCTGTTCCTTTTAAAAGGCCATCGGCCCTGCAACACGTTTGAAGGTGCAGGATACGTCAGGCAAGTGGTCAGCCGTTCAGCCGGCTGAGGGGGCTTTCAGCCATGGAAGGTGGATGAGAACCATGCTTACTTCTCACTTCCTTGACTGACCCTGCCCGGTGAAGTGCAAGATTGGCACTCTGGCAACTGCTCCCATGGCTTGCAGCGGCGTAGGTGCGTGGTCGAACATGGGGTAGGCCTTCAAATTGATCAAGTTGGGATGAGAATCACAAGCGGTATCACAGAAGGGAGCTTGTCTTGCAACTGTGTGCCTTTTCTCAATCCGGAAGCCACCCCCAGCCCGCAAGAAAAAGGCCTACTTGCTTTGGACGACTTTCGGGTATCCCAATACGTTGAAGCAAGGGCAGATGGCAACCATCTCTGCTTTCCATTCGGAAGTTGCCATGTCTGCCTTCTTGGCACCCTCTTTTCGTGAGCAACAGGTTGACTCTCAGCATTGCTCCCAGCCGATGAGAATCATGGCCAAACCGCTGAAGGCTTTCCATCCCCCCAAGAACCAGTGTCCAAAATCCCACTTGCCCACGGAACTTCCATCCAGCCCCTTTTGGTTGGCCCGCAGCAACCGACTCTGAGCCCGTCTGGGGCTCAGCCCTCGGAAAATCTGAGGAGGAGCTGGCTGGCCCGAAGCTTGGCGGCGGCACAGCTGGACGCCAAGTGCGGCTTGCTGGGGCAAATCATGGCGCAGGAGGCGCGGTCTGAGACCGTGGTAACATGCGTGGAGAACATATGAGCAACTGTTCGTGGGAACATATGGCAACATACACGCGTGTTTTTTTTTTCATTTACTTTTATTTTTATTTTTTCGTGGGAACATGTGTCAGACCTCTGGCCAGAGCTGGTTGGTCGGATCTGGGGTTTCGGCAATTTTGTAGTGCTAAAGGGCACTTTCTGGGTAGAGTTTGGATACAAGTTACACTGGCGCCTGAGGTGAAACAAAGAACTGAGTACAGAGTATGTGTCATGACCTCAGTTTGACGCTGGCAGGGAGCTAGATGGTGTCCAAAGCGGGAGCAGTGCATTTGGCTGCCGCCTGCTCTTGCACATTTGTTTTCACTTGGTTGCCAGGTTTAACTACGTCGTACGTGACTGGTTTGCCCTTGTGCCTTTTTGGGTGTCCTTCACTTATGGCTTATGCAAAGCCCAAAACATGCAAGAACACCACATTTTTGCCGATCAACCCATTTAATTCAGCGGGGTTACATTGCCCTGTGTGGAAACCCGGCCAAGTCACCAGTCGATCGCCGCACTCAAGCCGGCAAGGAGACTCAAGAGGCAGACTTGAACACCCATACTCGCCCATTTATTGGTGTCATTCCATCCTTCCCCATACGACCAAAGGGGGCACCAAAGTGTTAAACCAAAGATTAAAAACGAAAAAAGAAAAACTCAAAACTAAGAATTCATGTTTTTAAACACTCAAAACAACCTCCTCGTGTTCGCTTCGTGTAGGCCGTGTGCTCGGAGTCCAACGCGTCGAGCTGCGCCCTGCGCTGCGCCTGGGACCCGCGCCGGGACGCCTGCGGCGTGGCACAACACGCAGTCACGGGAGACCTGCGCCAGGAGGGGGGGGGTGTATGGGGCATGGGGCGTGGGGCATGGTGGGTCCCTAAAAAATGGCTTTGTGGCTCCCAGCCTTTTTGTTGCTTAGCTTTTTAGCTTTGTAGTTTTTTTTAGGGTTCAGTTGGGGGTTTCCGTTTAATTGTGTTGTGTCTTAAAACTTCGTGAGCCACAAAAATGCTGGCAACCCCCTGAAAAAAATGGTTCATCACAAGCATTGTGGTGGCTACCCTCAACAAAAATTAGATATGGGGATGGTAGGTATGGGTGGGGTGGTAGGTATTGGGGCATGGTGGGTCCCTAAAATTGGCTTAGCTCGCAGCCATCCGGTTCCTTAGCTTTTAGCTTTGTTAGTTGGTTTAGTTGGGGGTTTTCGTTTGGGACGGTGGGTCCTTAACAATAAGGAGCCAAAGAATGGTGGCAGCCCCTTGAAAAATGGTTCCACAAGAATGGTGGTGCCCACCCCCAACAAAAGTTTGATATGGGGGTGGTAGATATGGTAATTAGTGAACCACAAAAATGGTTCATACCCCCAACTGGTTGACCACGCAAATCGTGGTATTTATACCTAAAAACGGGGTGCATCACACACAAGGATCCTGAGTTCCTGAGCTTGATACTTTTTGAGCTTGGTTGCCATTTTTGTGCAAACAAGCTCGTGTGTTTTTTTTGGGCCAACCCACTCAGGAAGTGAGATGATGGTGGAAAAAACCCTTCCAAAGATTGGTTAACCACGCGAATTGTGGTTTACCCCACAAATGGATTTCGGCTTTGGGTTCCCATACCAATCCCCAAAAGGGGGTACCCTCAAGAGAACCGCAAACTTGTGTGTCAACATTTGAGAAGACAGCTGCAAAATGGGTGGCTTGTCCTGTGTTTCCCTTGACCCTTCAGGAATGAGCCACGAAGATCCTTGGTTGCTTTCTGGTGAGTAGTATCTTGCCAAGACCCGCCCTCTCACATTGCCAAGGTACCCGAAAGCAAAATGCTACTGTTTTTTGTTGAGGGTGTTGGACAACCTTGGAATTTGCAATATTAAAGAAGGATATTGAAGGTTTCTACGAAGCTTGTACGTAAGTGCCTTTTGTTGCCTTTTTTTGTAGCGGAGATCCTGCGGGCAAAACAACACAACAAATCGAGGCTGGCCCTAGTGACACACACCGTGGAGCAGTGACGGCCACATTCCCAGTTGGCCCCACGCGGTTTGTCTCGCGGTGAACGAGTTCACCTTGTTCGAGTCGTTGTTCCTTAGGGGTAGTTCCAGTCGTTGCACATATGGCTGTGGGTCAAAACCAATTGGATCCCATTTTGGGGTAGGTATTTTAGTTTGGATTGGGATGTTCACTGGGGGTACGATTTGGATTTTGACCCATGGCATCACCCGAGGAACCCGCGTCCCTTCCCCCGAACCCGCGTTTTCTTTCCAGGACTTTCGCGAGGAACTGGCGAGAGTGGCGCTGCGACAGCAGCGCTGTCTCCAGAGGAGCCAGGAGGAGTGTAGCTCGGCCAGTGGAAAGCCGCAGCCAGGGCTCGCCTTTCGTTTTTTTTGTTTGGCTCTCGCCTTTTGTTGAAGACCCACAGGGACACACATCCATTTTGGGGTGAAAGGCAAGCCTAAGGGCCTGCGGACACCACGATCCGCTTTTTGATGGAGGAGGAGGTTCTCGATTTTGAGAGCAGTCCAAATGTTGCCTGTTTGCAGCATCAAACATTGCAGTTTCACGGCCGTGTCGAAATCAGCCGGCCCCCCCTCCTTTGGAGCAAACCTTTCAACACTTTCGGTGCCCGACGAGGGGTAATTCGGCGGAGGTATGACGTTTGATTGATTGTTTTTTGTTCAGGGGGGATGGTTCTGTCGGTTGACATCATTTTACATTGTAAGGTTCACAACATTTAGACCAGCAAGATTGCAGTGACTCACGCTGGCATGCTGAAGGGTTTCGACATGAACTAGTGCAACGTTTGAGTGGCAATTATTATGACTGCACGGAGGGGGGATCAACCACGGCCGAAATATGTGCCGCTTCCAGTTGTTTCCTGTCTCTTACCAGCCAGGCGCACTCTCCCCACTAGCGTCACCCACAGCTGTGGTGCTTGCCCCCGAGGCACGGGCTCATGCACCTGGACCGGGACCTGCACCTTGAAGACCCTGGAAGCACTGCTTGCCGTCATCGATGAAGACTGCCCCCTCAGGACGACTCATCGCGAGCTCCACAGAGGTCCGGTAGACCTCATCAGAGTATTTGTTTGTGAGTTTTCCCTGAAGAAAATAAGTGATGCAGGGATCAGCCCAAAGCACTGACAGGCAGTGTGGCAATACATTTGAGCCCATGTAAGCCTAAAGCATTGACTGGCGCGCAGGGAGACCACGCGCTGGTCTTCAGTGCTCGCAAAGGGACAATGACTTCCTTGCCTTCTCCAAGCAGCTTTTGCAGATGATGAGATGTTTCAATAGTGTTGACCCCAGATTAATAAGCTTACCGGATGAGTTGATAGGGCTCCCTCTTGCAAAATGTTTCGGACACTTATTTTGACTCAGCACCTGCCAAGACCCAGCGGAATAGCTCCCGGCCGAAGTCCCGGAAGTGCATTGCAGAAATGAAGCGCTGCCACAAGGAGTCACGTAATCTTCAGCAAACAATATTGTCGATCATGAAGTTTGCGAGCAATTCCAGCAAGCCTGTGATGAAGGTTCTCAGGTCTGCTGCGTTTCTTTGTAAGGTAGCATCCACAAAATATGTTGACATTGCAGCAAGCAACCCGGACGTGCGACTGCCGGGTCGCAGGACTGTGCTTGGAGTGCAGGCAGCATGCGGCGGCCTTAACTCAGCACACTACCGAGCCCAGATGTTTACAGGGTTCCTTCCAAAGGATTGGTGTATGCAGGTTGCCCAGGTTCCCAAAGAGGCGGAGGCGGCTACCCTCCCAGCAAACATGAAAATGCACCGACGTCTTTTGGAAGATCATGCGCATTTAGTTCTCGGAAAGGGAGCCCATGCACTTCCATGCTCGTTTGCGGGTACATCAGGTGTGCCAGAGTTGAAGTGTTATGGAGCTATAGGACGGTCCCAACTGTAAACTGATGCGGCCATTGTTTGGGAGTCCTTGGCATGTTTCTGCGCGGTCCATAGCCCCAAGTTTGCTTCAAACCTCAAAGCAATGACCAAACCAGCAGGGTAGAAACTTGGTATGGGGTCCTTTTGTTTCCCCAGCTCCCCCCAAAGGCTCTCCCTGTAGACCACTAAGGCCGGTGTTCAGTGTGGGAGGTTCTGCCCCACAGTGGATGGACGAATTCCATTTCGCACTACCTAAGAAACCCCTGGACGGATGATTCCACTGTTAATACCAAGAAACAATGGCTTCCCATGGTTTCTTAGGTGCTGCGAAATGGATTTCGTCCACCGCACGTCTGGATTTTTGTTGGCCGAGGCGGGGAGCTGGTCACCTCCGCAAGCTGCCAGGCGGCCACCGATGTGCGGGGCCTGCCGGCGCCTGGGCCGGCGAGGTGGCGGGTCGCGAGCGACCTGGGACCTGGGACTCGGTTGCTCGGGCCCGCCCAGTGGCGAGAGGGGACCTGAGAAACCGAAAACAACCTAGGTACCGCGGGCCAAGAGTCCCTGAGACTAGATGTTTGTTAGGTACTCTCTCAGCACTTTCGGCTCCTCAGCTGGGTTTTTTAGGTACCCCCTCAGCACTTTATGTGTCCTTTTTTCCTGGTTTGGGAAAGGGTTCTTCTTTAAGCTCAACCAACAAAAACAGTGTGCCCTTTGTGTCCCATGGCCACTGGACACCTGAGGGGATGACCATTGGAAAACCGCGTAACAGATTTGATATGTTTCAACCACATAAAAGTTGCTCATGGTCGTTTGCGGGCCGAAGGGAAGATTGATCAAGCCCATTCCTCATTTCAGGTATGAAAACCATTGCAGATGGTTTGTGCTGATCCCCTAAAACTCCAAGCCAGCACCTAGAGATGCCCCCTGGCCCCAAGAGAACCGATCTAAAACCCCTTTCTTTTTTCGGGGGGCAGCGGGCTTCGGCTTCTTCTTTCTTCATGCCACCTCGCCGTCAAAAACGCGCCCGCCGCTTGCTAAAGGCGTGCTTTTCCTTGACCCAACCGCGCCGGCCCCGCGCCTTCCCCGCCTTCCGCGCGCCTTCGGCGCGCGAGCGAGGCGTGTCTCTGGACGGGGCGCTGCGTGCCGGAGACCGCGGCCCTGGAGCTGCAGCTCCTGGCGCAGGCGCAGCTCCTCACGCCGCAGCTGGAGGCGAGGGGGAGAGCCGCGGGGAAAATCCGGCACCATTTTTTGTTGGGGGGCCCTTAGAGGGGGGAGGGGAGGGGGTCCGTGTTTATAGGTGTACATATATATATATATATATTATACATATATATATATATACCCATGTTGCATACCCAGAGGCCAGAGAGAAGTCAGAGATGTGGGCAGAGCTGCTTGAGGATGCGAGCTGTGTTGCGTGTGTTTTAACTGAAAGCTGGAAGGAAACCAATGACTTGTTGGGGGTCAAGGGAGATTTCTGAAAGATGAGCTTCACTACATATTGACCAGACAAAGACATACGATGTTTGGCTGGGCCAAAAGCTGAGCGAGAGCTGGGTGTGTTTGAAGCCATAAGGAGATCCATGGGAAACTTATTCATTCTTCCAGACCCCTTAACCCCGAAAGAATCCTTTTCGGGGAGCGTTCTGAAGGGAAACCAAAGGAAACCAAATATTTGTTTGGCCCTCTTTGAGACACGCCAATCTCTGGGCAGAGGTCCTGATATTTCCCTTTTGGGAACTTGTTTTTGAAAGGACCTCGGATTCAACTTTGTTTAATTTTGCCAAGTCCGCCGCTTGTTTCCTCGCCGGGATGGCTCTGGGCAAATGAGCCAAGGTTCCTTTCTCGGGGGGGTCCCCTTGTTATGATCCACCCAGCTGGAATGATATTCCACATCTTCCGGCACCTCTTTCAACATTGCATGTCAAGGTTCACTCTAAACACGGACACACGACTCCGTACGTGTTTTGAATTTCGAGGAAAGAAGCTGAGGCAGTTTGCATGTCAAGGTTCACTCTAAACACGGACAAGACTCCGCACGCTGTTGTTTTTGAGGAGAGCAAGAGCTGGGGCAGTTTGCATGTCAAGGTTCACTCTAAACACGGACACACGACTCCGTACGTTTTCGAATTTTGAGGAGGACAAGAGCTGAGGCATTTTTCGTTTTTTTCTCGAATTTTCATGGCGAAGGCTTCAGACGCCCGAAGCGCCAGGAGGTGATGTCCGCAGCCATCGGCCGCTGTCAGAACTCCAGCTGCGACGCAGATGCGGCCTTGCTGGATCGGCCGAAAGGGGCAGAAAGTCCTACAGTTCCCTTTTCTAGGTGCCCTTTAACGTTTCTGTTTTGAGGGAGGGCTCCCTTACTAAGATAGATGACTACAGGAAAAAGGGTACCCTTATTTTATTTTCTCTACTGGAGGACCTAGTTTTGGAGGGTTCCAACAGTCGCAGTTTCAATGGAAACCACCAGGAAATTGCAATAAGGGAAATTCGGGGACCCCTGTGCGGTGGTCAGAAGCCGAGCAGCAGTAGCCATGGCTATGTTGTGGTCCCCATAAACATTGTCGTTTGGGAAAAATTAGTTTCCTTTTGGTGGGTGACGTCTCACAGATGGTAAGTTGAGGAACATATCCCTTTTCTGAGGGTCTGCAGTTTCAGATCTTGTCAGCGTGTCGTTCTTTCAACTTTGGAAATAGCGTGGACGTTTCCCATGAATGAGGGTCTTTGGACCACTGGATGTTGCATGTGGCGCAGAGAGGCATGACCCACATTTGCTGTGGTCAACCTCTTGGTGGTAGATCTAGACACAACCATCAAGAGAGTCAAGGGAAGCTTGATCTGCTCATGTCACGAATGACGGCCCTGCGTGGCTTCCTCTGCACATGCGGCTGTTTTTTGGGATCTATATGCGTTTAGGTTGAAAGCATTTGATCAAGGTGACGAGGTCCATCTTGATTCTAAGGATTGCCAGTTTGCTTTCATCCTTTTGCCCAGCTTTGAACAGTTTTTTCGGGAATGATCTTGGCCCGTTGGTGGTCAAGAATAGGCTTCCCTTAGTCTTTGTCTTAAAAAATTGGGGCATCGTATCTCAACAGGTGTTTTGTTTCCAAGCAGCTTGCTGAGAGATAGTGCTTTGCACCCCGAAAAGTGATGCAGCCAAGTGTAGTTTGGCAGAGGTTACGTAACCATCAAGAGCGACGCTGCACATGTGCCACTGTTCAACGACCTTTTCCCTCAGAGTTGCTGGGGATGGTCATCAGCTTGTTCACATGGAATTTAGAGAACCAGTGCCGCGACCATTGCCCGCTCAAGGAAGTCTGACTATGACAGACAATTGCGCTGGTTCAAATTGCTGCAACACCTTCTGTCAGATTTCCAAACAAGACGTTAGTATGAATGCTGTAGCCCTCCCACTTCCATGTCTCCAAAAAGAACACCTTCAGGGACCTTTCCTTTGATTCCAAGTTCCCAGGTCGGCCTTTTGTTTTTTCTCTTGGGCTAGAATCCACTCGCCCCTTACCTCTCCTCTGGTTCCATGTTCCCTCGGTGGCAGCTTCCCTTTCGGCTTTACCCCTTCCGTGCTGAGGTCTTCTGCCCGGAGGACTTGCCTCTGCCCTCCAAAAGCCTCCGCAGCGCGGGAAGCCTCGCGCTCCTGGTGCTCGCGGCGCGGATCTGAGCTTTGTTACATAGAACTCATCCCACGGGGTCCTTGGCGAATTCCGAAGGCAAACGTGATGTGTGCTTGGTTGCTTGTCCATCATGTGGGTTTGCGTTTTCTTCTTCCTTCCGCAGACCTCATGCGTGCGTGACAAACGAGCACTTTGACATGGACCTGAGTGCCGAAAAGAACGACCGCACAGGTTTTGCAATCACGGATAGCAACACTCCAGCCGGCGTATAAGATATGGCTAAGAGTCTATGAATGCCAATGGTCGGACACCCTCAAAAATTGTGAGTAAACATAAATACCCATGATAAATATGATGTCCACCAAAAGTGAGCACTCATGACCAATACGAGGTAGCTAGGTTTGCTTAGACTGGCTCTCTTTTTGTTCCCTTTCAGACCAACCCCAGAAAGGTTTCCCTCAAGGAAGACACTTTCGCATGTTTTTTCGGGGTATTTGAATCTCTCCGATTCTTGCCATTGCTTCAGGGAGAAAGGGCCAGCACTGCAAATACGCCTCTTGGGAATATGATGCCTGACTGCCAGCCACCCGCTGGTTTTTATTGATCATGTGTTGGGTGCAAAAACGTCGATACGAGACCAGTCAAATGCCTTGACGGCTTCCTGGCGTCCAGGAAGCCCCCATCGCACTTTCTTGAGCCCCAAGGGCCAAGAGTCCAAGTGGATGGAGCAGATCTCAACCATCAAGATCGCCTAAGGGTGTCTATGTATGGGTTTCCTTTCGAGACGATGCAAAGCGAAATGCAGAAGCCAGGTTTCACTGTTGGTTTGTTTCTCCGATACCCCGCAGATGCAAACATGTTTGTGGCAGGCAAGTCAGGCATAGAGCCTGCCACGTTTGGTTGAATCTAGCTCCATGCCCTTGGGGCGCGTGCAAGAGTCGGCTCGACGGCAGTCTCACCAGAGTGAAATCAAGGCAGCTGGGACATTCGGGCAGTGTTCTCAAGATAGCTTGGTGGCTCCCAGCCATCCGGTTCCTTAGCTTCTTAGCTTCTTAGCTGTTTAGTTTGTTTTTTCCATTTAGCCCCACTAAAAGTTAAAAACTTTTCGCGGGGGATCTGAGTACAGCTCAGATAGGAAAGTAAACTTTTCGCGTGCCTGGCTTGCCAGTTGGCCTTCCCAGGGCAGACCCCTTGCCTCCCACATGGCAGGCTTGAGTCAAGCTGGTGGACTGGACCAGGATCCAACTCAACATGTTTTTTTGCAGAAAGTTTACATATGTGAAGGGGGGGTGTGACACAAGCAAAAAGCTCGGAGAAACATGGCGATTCATCGGACTTGGATGTGTCCATCTTCGGCCTTTGGGCTGATCATTCTCCCTGACGATATTCTTCAGGGTCTGGGGCTCCCAAGATCAGTAAGGGAGGTGGTCCCAAGGGCTCTGTTGGACCATCTTCAACGGCAAAGGGACATCGTAAAAAGAAGTGCCCGTAAATTCGCCCTATCAACCAGTGGGTACCGTTCAGTCTGCCATCCCTGCCCAACAGATGGAAGAAGGCTGTCAGGCCCTCATACGAAGTGTGTTGGGCGGGCATTGCTCTTCAGAGCGGTTGCTCGGGGCTGGATTCTGTGGGCATCATCCCCCCAAGAAAGGAATCGTAAAGAATCAACCACACAAACATGGCCAAGTCTGCAATCAGGAGCCCACTTTTGCCTCCCCATCCCGCCATCGGAAGTTTCTCAAAATGGCTCGAGTTGGTATTTGAAGCCCAAAGGAAATCGACAAACTGACCATTTTCAGGAAACCCCCATATTCAGAACCTCCCCCCCCCCCAAAGTAAAAGCGAACAGAGTCGACCCCTTCGCCCCAAAAAAACGCCGACTGGCGTGCTAAATGGCGGGAGGCCTCGGCGGAGTGCATTCTCCAGCGACTCAAGGAGTACTCCAACAAGGCGGGGAGAGGGGTAGAGGGGTAGACCTTCAGTGCTCTTTGTGGAGGGGGCATCCTTCACCTACCAATGCACTAACCAACCAACCAAGCAAGCAACCGAAGCAGCCAATCAAGCAACCAACCGGACGGGGCATCCTTCACCGACCAACTCACTGACCAGGCAGCCAGCCAGCCAACCAGCCAACCAATCGACTCCTTCAAGATTCACCAAGAACAGTGGCTTTTTTTAGTCGATAAGCAAGAGTTCCCAGACCCTGGCGCCAACCGCAACTGAGCAAATTCAACAGAACTGGTCTCAAAGAGGCTGGGAATGGAACGCACGCCTTTCGGCCTGGGTTCTGTTTGAGCACCTTCGGTGATCACTTCGGTGCAACTGTCGTTGATTCCCAACTGTTGGCCTGTTGTTGCCTTGCGTGTGTGGACAAAGATGTTGGCCCACCTTTGTTCTATGCTAGTTTGCAACAAGGCCCAGATAAGCGTCGAATAGACATGATCAAGATGAAGCATGCCTCATACATACCCCAGAAGTTGTTGGTGCAGGGTGCATTTTGGGAAGGCCTCATCCTGTTGTCATTCAATTTCATGGTTGCCACAATGATCCACGTTGCGTAACATAGCTGCCATACTTTGCCTGATAGAAGGCCTCCAAGAGTGGCCCGGCACGAACTTCCAGGCGCTGGCCAAGCTGGTCTTTGCCATGAGCAAGACCCGCAGCTATGCTGAAGCCCCAGAGGCAAAAACACAAATCGCTGGTGAGAGACGTCCAGACCAGCGTGAATGATTTGACAGAACTGGGTCTTAGATTGGGCAGGGAGCCAGTGCTGAACTCATGAAGGGCACGATGGAATTGCAGGATGATTGGACGTTTGAACCCACATTGGTCAAACACATGCGTTTGCCTTGGGGCAAAGGCATCTAACAAGGAGGCAACATGTTGGAACCTATCGTGCAGACCATGTTGGGTTTCAGAGGCCTTTCAACACAGACGTGACATGAATCGCTTGGTGGCACGGTCCCTCAGGCGTGCAATGGCCTGAGACAATATTTGGCCAACGTGTTCGGTGTGAACGTGGCAGGTTCGTGTTCAAAAGCAAGCATCATGTCATATTGGTTGACCAGGGCTCATCTAGCAATGCACGAATACACACACACATACATTATTCACTATTCTTCACACACAAATAGATACATGGCAAGAACATAAATGCACAAAACAGTAGATAGATAATACATATAGATACACATTGTTATGACTTGTTTGGGTGGCTGAGTTTGTGTGTGTGTGTGGTGTGGCAAATGTAATCTTTGACTGCATGCTTGAACGTTCAATTTCCAAGGTATTGACGTCAGGTACAAGCTTGACAGCAGCTGCAGCAGCAGCAGCAGCAAGAAGGAGCAAGAAGGAGCTTCGATAGTTGGATTGGGGCTGTGTACACTTTTCGACCACATACGTCACAATAGGACAAGAATGTGTGTAATTATTCAGCCCTTTAGACAGGATGCCAATCCTCAGTGCAAAGATCGAAGCAGATTCATGGCTGGCTCTTTGCATAAGTCTAAGGGTAGCTTCCCCATTCCTTCCAGGGATCCTTCTTTCTAGAAAACCACCAAAAATCCTAGGAAAACATCCGGTTTTTGAAAAGAACGATGGTTGAATGGGGAACCAACCCCCAGAACAAGGGGATGCGTCAAAGCACCCAGTTGGTGAGAAAGCTTGGCCGAAGGATCCTTGGAGCTGCCGAGATTGATTCGCACGGATGGCGAACAGCTACCGTCGCCTTGCATCGAGCTGCGCAAGACCCCATTTTCCGCAGGTCATTCAACAAAAACATGATTTTCAACGCATGCCACGAGGCATTTGTGGTTCACGGCCACAAATCAACCCCTTGGCCTTGTAATGGTCATTTTCCTTGGTGGTCACCCACATGTCAAAGCACGTCGTGTTTCTGCCCCCTTTTTTTTGGAAGGTCCGCCACTGGCCCCCCTCGTCCTTCGCCCGCCGGCTTCTCGGCCGAAACGTCGCCCGAACGGAGCGAGGTGAACGAGCGCTTCTTCACGGAGATGGCGGAGGAGATCCTGCGGCGGATGGACGGCATCCCCACGCGGGGGACTCGGGGCCGGGGAGCCGGGCCGAGCCGCTTGGCGTTAGGTGAATGATCGGGGTGTGACGGGGAGTGGTTGGGAGTGAATGATTTGCAGTCCCAGTTGGTGCTGTAGGTTGAAGGCGATGACCTTGGGTGATTAAAGGTTCAGATGCTAAAGGTGGTTGCCTTGGTTAAAGGTGAAGAAACCTCTGGTGCTTTGGGAGAAATGGGGGAAAATCCTTTTCGAGGGCCAAGGAAGCCCAGAAAAGACCGGATCTCGCAAGCCTTTGCAGGTCAGGGAACAGAAGTTGTTGGCGGATATCAAATCTGATGTCTCCCAAAGGGTCCCTAATTCAAATTGATGCTTAGGAATCTTTGGGGGTCTCCTTCTTGGGTTCCATGTCAATCTGCTGAGTACCTTGATTATTATAGACGGAAACGGAATCATTCGGCAAGTAAGACAAACCAGGGGCTAGTTGTTGAATTGAGGGTTGCTGACATACTTGAGAAGCTCCTTGGCATTGGTACGAATCAAACGAATCGTGTTCGGTGTGTATATATATATATAGATATATATTCATATACGTATCATGTATACAAACATACACAATGATACTGGAATCGTGTTGAAACAGCAATTGCAGCGGGAGACTTTCTGTTTCCAAAAAATGGATCCGTTTTGGATGGTTGTTCGGAGGGAAGCCAAAGTGGCGCCTACAAAATTCGTGCGGCGCCGTACTTTGGGACACACCTGTATGTTGTCGGTTTTCTTACGAAGTCAAGTTTGCCAACATTATGTTTAGAAGCTTTCAGAATGCCGGTCTTCTTGATTTCCCCAGTTCCATCGTCTTGGCAAAGAGCAGAAATACCAGAAATAATTGAGGACCAGCGCGGGCGGGCTTGCGTTCTAAACCTACTCCGATTTCTGAAAAGATCGCTACTGCCAACCACAAACCATCTTTCAGCCACATGGGTGGTGCCTTAAGATTCTGGGCTCCAGAGAATTGCACTGGCTGCTTTCCTTGAATTCCCCTTTCAATTCAGGAATATTGTCACCCTTCCCCCTGGCATTCTTGCATTTATTTAAAACCATGTATTCCTTTGTCGTCTGAGTAGATCCAACATGTGAGCCGCTATTCCCATCTTCGAAGGTCTCCTGACCCCTTGCAATACTAGATACCCTGTCGCATTCATTAAAGGGTGGTTGCCCTACAGTGAAAGATG